GAGGTCAACTGCCAGATAGGCTCTCTCCCTCTTTCCTGTCTCTTATACACATCTAGATGTGTATAAGAGACAGCTCTCTCTCTCTCTCTCAAATCCTTACCAAGGTTCGCTAAGGTGGTGGGGGGTCACTGGGGATCTGTGATCCCGTGATCACGATTTCCGCTGGGGTCTGGTGTGTGTTGGTTCTGTACGGACTACTAGTCCCAGCATAATCGGATTTAATCAACCGAAATTCCGGTATCTCGTGTTTTTTTGGAAACCTTGTGCCATCCATTAGTCTCTCGTCCGTACCCTGCTTAAGCAGGGCGTCGACTTCATTTCATGGTACGGGAAAAAGACAAAAGAAAAGAGTCCTTGTCATCATATCGAGACTCACTCTCACTCCTCCGACCCCTAACCACCATCGTGATTCCCTTCTACCAACTTCAGCAAGAAGGGAAACAAAAAGTTAAGTGCACAAAGAGCGGACATCCTATTCAGGCAACCTCTTCACGCCACATCTCAACAGCGGCACAAATCTGCTTCAGTCCCCGAACCGTTCTTCACTGATTTCGTCCGCCAACTACCCTCTCTTCCAGCCGCACTCCTCGCAACAATCCTCGATAGCCCTTATTAGAGAAGAGGCGTGTTTGCCCTGTAAGCTGCAGAGAAGAGGCGGCGGAAGAGGCGACGGAAGAGGCGGCGGAAGAGGCGGCGGAAGAGGCGGCGGAAGGAGCTTAAGGACGAGGGAGGAGAGTGGAGGGTAGAGGAAGATGATGGACACGGAGACGAAGCCGTCGATGAGCCTGGACGATCTAGCGGCGAAGAACGGCCGGCGGATTCAGAGTGGCGCGGTCGCGAAGAGAGCGTTCCCAAGACCAACTCCTTACGGCTACGGGTCGTTAAGAGGGAGATCCCTTTCCGCAATCGCCCACCACCAACAAGGCTTCGCGAGTTATGCAACAATTGCAAGAGACCGGGGCACTTGCCCGCGAGTGCCCTAATCAGGTGGTATGCAATGAGTGCGGAATGGCAGGTCATCTGGCGGCGGCGTGCACCAATTAAGCGATCTGCCGGAACTGGGAAACAGGCTGGGCACATAGCTGGGCACTGTCCGAACGAAGCTGTTTGCAATATCTGCGGAAAGCCGGGGCATATCGCACGAGGTTGTGCGGCTTTGGAGGGAGGAGATCGAGATGCCGTAGCGCTACCTAAAGTCTCTCCTATGTAATAACTGCTTCAAGCCTGGGCATACTGCCGTGGATTGTCGAAACGAGACGGCATGCAACAACTGTAGGAAGCCGGGACATTTGGCGCGAGACTGTAAGAACCTTCCAATTTGCAACCTTCCGTAAGATTTGCAGTGTTTGGCCGCTTTATGTGCCACTGAACTCTCTCTCTCTCTCTCTCTCTCTCTCTCTCTCTCTCTCTCTCTCTCTCTCTCTCTCTCTCT